TTTCATATTATTATATTTTTTATATAATTAAAATGAAAAGATTGATAATAAAGATTAATGAGAAAAAGGTGAAAGATAAAAGCATAAAAAAGAAAAAACATTATAAATGTGCACACATTCTTATTAGAGATTTTAAAAACGGAGAAAAGAAAGCAGAATTGAATTAGGTGCACAAATGCGTTTAACTGCGCGTGCACTTTAATCAGCTGATATTTAATACTACATAACCTAACTTTTTACTTGGGTTGGAGAATTACGGAGATTATATGATCGAGTGCTTATATAAATTACTATTTATAATTCTAACACACGTGGCATTTGAAAAAAGGTAATTTCTGTTAACATTTAATTAATAATCTATAATTTCTTAAGCATATTTTCGTCTGCATCGCAAAAAAATAAAGAAATTTGTCGCGAAAAATCAGGTTATGTCATGTATACATTGGAATAAAATGTGCACATCTTTTCTGTGCTTATAAAATAAATTGCGGATTATTTGTTAGACAATATATGTATGCGTATGTGTGTGTGTGTGTGTGTGTGTGTGTGTGTGTGTGTGTGTATATATATATTTATTATATACAATGTCATTTATTACATATTTCTATTATATATTTAGTCTAAGTCTACATAGTCTACATAATAGGATGTGTCAACAAGTCTTGATGGCTTGATGTTAAATTCACATTATATAACATTCAGTATCAATATTAATAAAAATCTATATATCATAAAGAAGATTAGCTATGAATTTAAGATCTGATTAAACATATATATATTTATATACATTCTTTCGATATGTATCATTTTTTCTTCAGAATCCATGTCTTGGGTTATGAATTCTGTTCGAGCTGTCGTAAGCGCATGGACACCACAGATGACACCAGTACGGTTTCGCTATTATGCGGATAAAATAGCAAGAGGTCCCCTTATACGGCGATATGGATATGAAGATCCTATAGATATGAAGGGCGTTCTACCACATACGAACAACACTAAACGACTCCCGATGCCGATCTATCGACCAGCGGACGCTTGGTCCGAAAAGAAGGCACTATTCGGTCAGAATGACTATATTGACATATTGGGCTCGGATAACTTACATCCCACGAAAATTCTCTACAACGTACCCTCATGGTTGAGAGGTGTCAGTGGCAACGAATTTCAAGTTTTATTGCGAAAGAAAAAAATGTGGGCGAAAGGTATATTTCCAATTGCAAGACCCACTAAGTGGAAACAGTTGGACAAAAGAATACGTTATCTCTATAAATATTTGAATCGTAAAACTAACAATACATAGATCAAAACTAAGTAGAGCAAATTAAGTTTATGTCTTGCTGAAATTTGATACAAATAAATCTAATGAAATTCTAATTTAATTCTCATAAATAGTTGTTGTGTTTTTTTCCACTAGTTTTTGAACATTCTATCGAATTTTTACGATTTCTTGTTTTAGATGACATAATTACTCTGTGTATAACATTAGTTAAAATTCACTGCTTACAGTAATAATTATAAAAAATATAAAATAATGAATTTGTTTATTGACAAATAATTATCCATCGGATATACGATTATTTCATAACACTGAAAAACGCAAATACTTTTCTCGCTGAAACGCGGATTTTCATTTCGTAGAAAGATAAAAGGGATACATGTGTCGAGTTCGCGTACCATATATGTACATGGTCACAATTGGTATGTTAATGTCTAATAGTTCAATATTATATTACGAAACGACTGCGAAACACAAACGCTTCTGGACTGGAATTAGTCTTCCTGATTAACTATTGTCAGTAAATTGAGTATTGTCTATTCTCTTAGAAATGGTCATAATTAACCGATATTATCACGATCATAAGCTTTGACAATAGCTGATTAAGAAAACTTCGAATGTACTTATTGCGCGTTTTGTGGCATCTTGACAGCGGCGTTGAAAATCGTATATTCAATATATATACTTTTTTGAAAGTTATATATCATAAATTCCTTGCTAGAAGTTCGTCCTTGATAATTAATGACAATATATTCACACTGTGCTGTTGCAGATACTTTACATAAAAAAAAAAATGTAATACTATCTTAAAAGTCCTATACAGGCACACTTTTATACAGAAACTAGTTGACATTATTTTGTCATCTCTGAAGATATTTCTTTTTTTTTAATTTTATGTTTAAATGTGTACATAAATTATAATGGCAGTTACTTAAAATTGCAAATTTTTACTTCGAGGAACGATTATTCGAATTATTTAACAATGTGAGAGAAAAAAACGAAAATAAAAGGAAACAAAACGTCACTTCATAAATGATTCTGTAAGAAGGATAATAGAGTCGTTTCGTAATGTTTGCTGGCATCTAAGCTTCTCAGACTATGCCTCTCATTAGGGTACACTTGCAACTGATACGGTTTACCAATTTTTACAAGGGCATTAATCAGTTGGCTAGTGTGATAGAAATGTACATTCTCGTCTATGAGACCGTGAATAATCAACAAACGATTCTCTTCGTCGGGAAACTTGTTTACATATGTCAGGACCGATCCGGCCATGTAACCGTGAGAATTGTTTTGTGGCAAGTCCATGTAGCGCTCAGTATATCCAGTATCATAAAAATTCCACGAGGTAACTGGAGCACCAGCAATGGCTAGCTGTGAATTGCGATAAGAACATTTTTTAAAAGAAACTTCAAGTTTTAAGAAAATATAATATAAAATAAACATTAATTTATGCGCACCTTGAATACATCAGGATACTGTATCAAACCCATTAAACTTAAGTATCCACCATAAGACCAACCATGAAGAGCTACTCGATTTAGATCTATGTATCCAGTAGCCTCTGCCAGCCATCTCAATACTTCAACTTGATCATTCAGCTCTACTGTTCCCATCCTACGTCGCAAATGGCTCTCGAATATGAGACCTCTATGTTGCGACCCGCGAGAATCTATTAAAACGACGCAATAGCCTTGAGCAGCTAACATGTGCATTCGTAAATGTCTTAAACCCTGCAGAAGATTAAATAATTAATAAGTCTTTTTCATAAGAGTGAAGTATTTTTTCATAAGTTATTTATAAATTTATTACTTTATGTGAGGTACATTTCATTCAAAACTATCGTTTAAACTACGGTCTATACTTCTGTGGTAAAGTTTAGAGCATTCTATAATTGTTAAATAAAAACATGATTTTTTACAGATGTATAATAATTATGTTATTGAAAATATTAATTTTTATTTTAGAATGTACACTATTGGAATAAAATTTATAATTGAAACAATATAAATTTTTGTACATTTACAATATTAGAAACGATCATAATACAAAATTGAACAGAGATGAGAATAAATCTAATTAAGAGAAATCTTTTCAATCAAAACTGATTTTAGTGCTTAAATATTTCAGTGTGAATTTATATACATATTCAAATATTGCCAAAGCCTCGGTAATCGAATTGGAAAGATATCCGCACGGAATACGAGAGATTCAGATTCGAATCACGGCTGAGATCATATTTTTTGCAATAAATTATTCGCAATTTTTTAAATTCTTATTAATATAAAATTAATATTCTTATAAGAAGTTTATTATAATATATCAATATTGCTTGCCAATTTAATATATGACATTATTTGCGTTTCAAGATTGAAAAAGATTTTAACTCGCAATTTATAGAATTGGATAAGTATATAAATTCATACTGAAATATTTAAGCACCAATTATAAGATTCGCTTTGACCGATAATAAGATTTCTTTTATTTAAATTAATAAAGTTAATTAATCTTCTTCTTTTCCAAAATTTAGAGATGTACCAAATTTTTGAGCGGTATATATATTTTTAAAGGAGAATACCTACTTTAAATGTGTTTGATACAAGTTGTACTTCAGGTCCTCCATAAATATTCAATATCGTAGGATATTTGACTCCAGGTTGGAAATTATGAGGTTTAAATATCATTGAGTAGACCGTATCCCCCGACTTGATTTTATGCTTGAAGATTTCCGGCGCAAACAACTCGGATTCAGGCGCTGCTGGTTCTAGGAGATAGCCTACGGGTGTGAGCGATATGCTCTCCACTGTCCAATCAGTTTGTGATATTTTAAATACCTGCAAAATTGACGAAGCAAATTACTGATTGTGTAAAACTAATATCATTAAGCGTATAAATATATTATAAGGAACATACTTGACAAGTAGGCAGCGTTTTAATGGAACTATAAACAGTAACGAGCATTGTACATTCTTTGTTAAAATATACACTATTGTAACTATAGCCAGGCCGCGTCAGTAGCCGTATTTCTAATGGCCGTCGCAGCGAAACCGCGTAAACGTGTTGCTCCAGTGGTCCTTCACGTAATCCACAGAAATAGACAATGGAATTAACTTCATCGACCCATATTTTTTTCCCTAGTACTTCATAATCACCCTGCGTCAGAGCTATTTTGGAAGTAATACGTGGTCGAAGAAATATACTGTCCATTCTATCTAAAGGTTCTTCCACTCCATTACTTAAGCCTATATATTTTAAACATATGTAAAAAAAAATGCGTCGAGCAATGACGTTACTATTGAAATGTATTGTTACAAACCTGCTATACTGGATGTTATAAGATACAAGTGTCGGAACTCGGATTCTTCGCTCCCCCAGATAAATTTGACTTCATTCGCATCGTCCGACTTTAAAAAGTATAATAGGTCGTTTACGTTAATCCAAATTGGGCTCTGTTCAGAGTATATTACTTGAACGCTCGCTGATGTGGGTGTGAAATGATTTTCCGTATTATACGTATTCGGCGGTGGTTCACAAAAGTTGTCTATCGACAATAAGATCAATTCGAGTTTCTGTTGTTTTCTGTCCAGTAGTTGCACCCAGACGCTATATAAACAAAGTAACATTATTGATTCATACTAATACAAGATCTTGTATATTTTAGTTTCACCTCGAACTTACTATTGAGCATCCGGAGTCCATCCAACTCGCACCATGTATTCCATCCATGGAAACATAATGTGAAGAGGATATTGGAGCTCCAATATTTCGATATCGACAATATGTAATGATTCTGTTAGACGGAACTGCACCATTTTCAAGTTACTTCTAGCATTGGGCATACCGGCTCTAGGAAATCTAAATTCATCTACTTCATCGGAATTTGACGAGGGGAAACAATATATCTTAACATCACTCTCGTCTACTTCTTCATACACTATCCTATAGATTCCATCAAACATGGACTTCGGCTGCCACCAGTAGCCAATATACCTATGATAGAACAGATATTTTTATTTTTGCATTTTTTTAGTATATAATATTTAGTATATAATATTTTAGTATATAATATTCAACAGCAAATAATTCAACCTTGTAAATTCCTCCTGCATGACGTAAGAAGGGGTACCGGCGGTGAGTGGATCATCTACGAGACTTCTACCTCCTTTCCTAGCATGAGTTAACCGAACTGAAGAACCTGTGATGCTATGAGACAGATACAAATCTCCCGAACATGTATGAGCGATCAAAGCATTGTTCCAGGGACAGATCTGAGGACATAGTTTCGCACCGGTCGTCGACATCCTGATTTCAGATGGAAAAAGAGGTCCAGGCTGATAGAAAAACATATAGATTCAATATTTTTTTTCATTAATTCACAATAATACGTGGATATTACCATAAATCCAGTATCCACACATTGATAAAGGCTGCTAGCAGCTGGAAAGACTAATTTTCCACTTTCCGCGTGAATCTCATAACTAGTTATACCCCACGTAGCAAGTCTCTTCCTTTCCCATAATAATTGTTCCTCCTTCGACAGTCTATTCACACTTGATACACTAAAATCATCGTATAATTGATCTAGATGCTTTTGGATCAATACAATATCACATTGAACGATTCACTCGAGCAATGATATTACTAAATCACTCTGTAGTGATGTTTTTACCTTTGGAAATTCGCTTCTATGACAGATTGCCAATGCAATCGGTAGCCATTAGCATGATCCGCGTGTGCAATGTCCACATACAGAAGAGTGGTCTCCCAACCATTACTTGGTGTGCTAAGAAAATAGATTCTAGTCCTACAAAAGGGGAGTGGAGCATTATTAATCTTTTGATCAGATAATGAGCGAACTTGAAGATATTGTATTGATGTAAATGAACATGTTTTCCTCACCGGCCATCTGGGAGTGATCGGAAAGTTATGGAACTCGGCACAGATCCAGCTGATACCCCCGACAGTTTCCTCCTGAGATCGCTGACGACGGCGCGGAGCTCGGACCAGGACTTCCGCGGCACTGTGCTGTCGGGGAAGGTCTGATCCCCCACCGATTCGTTGCTCGTGGTATCCATATTCTTCATACGTTGCCGGCGGCTTTTCCGTGAAGTCATTCGTCCCCCAGCGAGTACCTCCGCGGCCGTCTTGGCGCGGTCATGTCGACGCGGATTTGTCCCAGGAGCAGCGTGTGATAGATGCGGGTGTACGCGAGTACGACGAGCGGGCACTCCGAATATCACAACGGGGCGATTTCGCGACAGGGTTACGGCGGGCCGCGCACAACGGTTCACGAGCGATACGCAAGACGTTACTGCGCGCGCGACCACACACGGCAGCGGACGCTGCGGATAGACGACGGACGTCGGACGTAGATGTGAGTGAGCAAATGAGTGGGAGAGAAAGAGAGAGAGAGAGAGAGAGATATTTTATTTTTAGGTTATGCGCCGTCTGCCACCACGGTCGCGGACAGAGGTTCACTTTCACCTTCTCCCTGGCCTCGCTCGATTTCTCTTCGGCGGTCTCTCTCTTCTTCCAATGTCGTGCGACATTAATTTCCCGAAATCAAGTATTCATACCACCGCGACTACAACCGCCACCATCACCGCCACCACCACTACACAGCCGTCGTTGCCACGATCAGCGGATCAGCCACGATTCCACCGTGACTCCACGTGCCAAGAATTCACCGCGAGTGCCAAAGATTCCAACCGAGCTGACGTTGTCATTCGAATGCTAGCACATGACAACAACTCTTATCTGCTCTTATCATAGTTATCGTTGTTGCTCGTCGGAGGCTATTCTGGCTATCCAATGACGCGTTCGCGAAAAGGCGAAGCCACGTGAGAGATATGGTTACATGCGTATTTGCGTACACGTGTACACCGTACGTCGTATCGTGTCGCGTCGTCGCGATGACCCCTATTATTCCCGTCACGCGGATGAGGGATCTCCTGCCTCCGTATGAGTCGTCTTAAAAGGATTTACGCTCGAATTTAATTACGTCAGACCGTCGAATACGCATTTTTTATTCTTGGTTTTTGACATTTCGCGCGAGTTGGCGATTAAAAGCTGTAGTCATGTACTCCGTACTGTTAATTAATTGTATATACAGTCAGAGCAAAAAGTATTTGTACAAGGAAATTTGTTATAAAAAAAGCCTTATTTAGAAAATAAACATTAATTAGCAATTTTATATAATGAATACATTCTGTTCTAATATTAATAAACGAGCTTAGCATGTATTCCTGATTTTAGAAGCTAAATTTCTTGTCTGTACGAATACTTTTTTTTGAGCATTCAAACAATACAATTTTTAATTTCCGCTTATTTTTCGGATGATATATTTTGTATAATTAATACATATCATTTTGGTATACATAATTTTAAGAAACATATAGTCTATTTTATTCTTTATCAATAAATTGTTAATTATCCTACATAAAAAATGATCGTTAATTGGTGTTAAAAATCATCGAATTTATATCGATTTGACATCAATTCGATGATTCATTTTTTGCTGGATAATATTTATTTTTTTTAAATAAAGCCTTTTAAAAAATATTTTCTCTGTACGAATATTTTTTGTATTCACTCTAATAGCCTATAAAAATTGGTTCGTATTTCGTCGTTAGAGTTCGACGAATCCGATTTGAGATCGCACTTAATTATGTGTCATTGCGTATTAGATTATAATTCGGTTGTATGTTAGCATATCTTTGAAACAATAAATATTTTTTATGTTTAACGCGGTTTAAAGTTCCTGTTTATTTATCATTATTATCTCAGAATGTCAAAAGCGAAAAGACAAATATAAAGTTCTGTGAATTATAGGTTTTTAAAATACTCGAACTAATAGATAATACTTTTTGTACTACTTTAAAAAATAAAAACGTACCTATATATATATTTGATTTTGATAATTGACAAAAACGGAAAATTTTGCAGAATTTAGTGCAATAAAAAAACATATCTATTATTTAAATAAAAATATTTGTGAAACATTTGCAATCGCGATAGATATATTTATAAAATACATTATAAAGTAAATTAAATTACAAAAATAGGGCAATAGGAAGTATAATTGTGCAAAGTATCACGTGTTTATAAATTATATTAAAAAATTATTACTAAACTTACTAAAATACACTGAACATTAATTATATGAAAAAAAAAACCTTACTAAAATACATTGAATATAAATACATATATCATAGAAAATATTTATAAAATGTTTCAGAACGAAATTAAATATATTTATTTTTATATGTTATTAATTTAATAGTTTGTCATAATTGTGAACATAGTTCACAATTATTATTTTTTTAATTACGTTCTTGATGCATAATTAATTTCCAGACAATTTACAGTAATTTATTAATTAATCAAAATGAGTTTTCAATATATTTTACAAAGTTTAGCAATTATTCAATTGTGTTGTTTTATTGAAACACATTTTTATATTATTGCAAGAATTTCTATTGTATATTTTTCGCTTTTGATAACATTACAATGTGAGACAGTTGTAAGTAATAGGAACCTGAAACTAACAAATTCTTTTATCATAGAATATATATATTCCGAAGATTTTTTCACGTTGAACATGTTGTTGATAGAATTTGCATAATACGTCGGGATTTTTAGTAAATTGGGGTAAAATGGGCTATAAAAAACTATTTTTTGTCCATTTCCTCCAATTTACTCAAAATCCTGATGTGTTACGCATGCAAATTCTGATGACGTCATCATATTCGACGTGAAAAAATTTTCAGAATTATTATATAGCATTTATATCAGAGAAAAAAAGGTGACTTTTTTCGAACAGTGTAATAATAAAGCATTTGTGCGTAAAATCTTGAAATGTTATTGTTTTTATTATTGTATTTTATGTTATGTTTCGCAGATTTTGCAAACTTTCGTGTATGACGTGCGTTGAAGGTTTCTGATTGTGAAAAGGAAAATAATTAACATCAAGGATATCCTTTTTAATCGAAATTTAATGAATTCCGTTTTCTTAAGATACATTAAACGCATTTGAGATACCTAATAATTTTACATGGTTTTACAAAAATAATTAAATTTAAAGAACTTTATGACGTTTAATAAAATTTAAGAACAGCGCTTTAATTCTTTTTAATTTAATGAAAATTGATAGAAGGTGATATAATTAATAGAACGGCACAAATTTACAATGTGCGTTGATGTATTTTGTTTTTACTTTCGGTTATGAAAAGAAAAATAATGTCTCGTTGAGAATATCTTTTTTAATATAAATTTAATACATTTCACTTTTGCAGATATTCAAATTTAACTTGAAAATGGTAGCAGTTATCTTGAATGAATTAAAATTCTGAAAGATTTAATATAATTTTAGAATAATAGTACTTTTTTTTTAATTTAATGGAACGTAATAGTTGATAAAACAGCATGAATTCGCAACGTACATATGTTTGAAAGGAAAAAAATTCCTGAGGAGAGCAAACATGTGTACATGTCGCAGTCACGTTCTCGTTGTTCTTACATATTTTAATAGCTCTTCTCCATCGCGACATCTGTTTTTGTCCTTGTTTACCCTTGAATAATTTTCCTCGCCATCGTTGTCATCATTCGCAGACTCCTTCACATTTATGTACAAAATCCAGATGTAGCATTAATTCTATGCGTTTTAAAACGAGAGATTTTTCTTTCGCGAGAGAAAATGCGATCGATCTTCTGTATGATCGGCTGCGTAAATAGACGCTTTCCTTAGTGTGGTTTATTCCCGTTAATATTCGCGAGAGAAAATTCTTGTGACGTTATTTTATAAATCTATGCCAGGTATTCGGGTCGTTATTCATAGATTGTATTTCGATTCGAATAAATATCAGTGAGTCGATCGATAAACGATGCTCGAAATGCATGCAATGTACGTACTGCTTTTTTTCGTTTTAGATTAAAATTATTATTATGGATATATATATATATATATATATATATACGTTTCGTTCATGAATACCCAAGTTGCAATAATATATTTTAACAGAAACTAACTTTGTTGAATCCGTCTAAAAAGAACAATTTCTTATAATTTTCTTATTTAAATGTGTATGTATTTCTTGTTCATATTTTGTCATATAATTTTAAAATTAGTTATACAAATATTACTGTTGTAAAAATTTTATTATATTATAAATGTGGCGTACATGTGTTGGAATCTATATTACGAGAAAGTTGATAATTAGAATTATAACACACAAAATGCATTTTGCATACTAAAGAAATACCTTATACGCTATGCTTATAAGCATATAAATATTAATAAATATAATAAAATTCTAATAAATTTTCATGCCAAAGTTCATTTGAATCCACTTATTCGTTTCAATAATAAATTATAATAACAAAGAATATGATAATAAGAGTATAATAATTTATTTTTATCACACATTTTCTATACAATTTTAATTTTTAAAAAAGAAATCAGAAAAATTTAAGAACACTTATATATGTTTTCAGAAAATATTACATGAAACGGGTTCGATGGTATTGTTTTTTTTTAATTATATTGAATTTTGACAACAACAAAAATTTATTAGAAAAATCTATAAGATAAATGATTAGAAAAAAAATGGACATGTATATACGGAACGGTTAAACAAGTGTCAATGTTACGATAGTTTTATCATAAACACCTCAAAATTTTACACATGTACGATACGAACACGTGCGAGTTTAAGGATGTAACTTCTCGACAGAAGAGACACGATTAACAAACGAGGAATACGCAATTTCTCTGACGAGGCACATTTTGTCAGCGTTGCATACATTTCTGTTTGTATATATCAATTTATCGAAATTTGTTTCCCGTTACGTTGTCGCAAGTGTAACGTTAACAAACAGTTCCGGTAAGCAAAGGATTATATTTCTTCTTTTCATCATTTTATATCAGAACGTGTGCAATAGACAAATCATTTATTTTTTCCGGTGTAAAGATATCTTGCACACGCGATTGAAAACAAATATTTAATCAAATGTCGAATAATGATTACATAATCAAAAATTACATTCTGCTCTCAATAATAATATTAAAGACTGAATTAGATTCAACACAATAATGTCAATATATGTCGATTTTTTGTAATCTTCGCGAGTATTTTCAATAAATTACATCTGTCTACATTTTTACAATTTGATTTATTCATATGTCTTTACAGAAATGGTTGTTAGTTCGAGATTTTCGAGATTTCGGAGCTGTAGCTTCCCAGTCGCAAAATCCTTCCTTTTTACGGTTGAAGGTATTAAGAGATCATGGGAGGTGAGCCATATTAATATGAACCACGTTGATCATTAATTTGAGGAAAATATTAAATACTTAATTAATTAAATTATATTAAATATTAGAGGAACGAAATACTAAAACCCTCTCTCCAAACTCTCTTTTTTTACAATATGCCATTTGCATCAAGAAAATATTTGCAACATATTAAACACATTAGAAATATACGATAAATAATTATGTTTTATATTTAAGGAGCGACATCTTATTTACAAGTTGATATGCTTTTTTATTTTAATTTTCCAAAAATTTGATGTAAATTTGATGTATGTTGTTGAGTCGTCAGGAAAGTTCGTGTCGATTTTGAAAGAAAATTGAAACGCAGAAGATTTTTAATTTTATTTATTAAATTTAAATCTTTTGCGGCACAAACTTTCTGGACGACCCAATACAAAATCAATTGATATTTTGACAGTCAAGCTGATTTCCGCATATTGAGTTTAATAAATTTAATAAATTTAATAAATATACTATTTTAATACC